TCAGTGCCCAGGGACTGCCCCGATGATCCCGTTAACAAATCCTTCTGATATCCCGCACTCTCTCCACTTACGCCGAGCTACTCTGCGCAGTTAGGGCACATGTCGAAGCGGCAAAAACTGCAAGGCCCAGAGGAAAGGATGGCATAGTGCCAGCAACGACATATATATGGGTCTTGCAAGACCAAGAGAGGTCAAAATGGGTCTAGCAAGCTGGCAAAAATGGACCAGCCCCCATCGTGGTTTCCTGGTATGTCCATACATTTCATCCTAATATGTCCTATCCTCAAAAGTCACACCCGGCATATGACAAACACAATATCACTCAGCCAGGACGAGAACTCACAGCTTTGCCTGCAGTGGAAAAAATGCGACAGCTTCCTGGCGCGCTGCGTGCTGATGCATGTGGTTGCATCTTCATCCGGGCTACAAACACAACCAAACATAATATGGTGTGCATGGAATCGAATCATACTATTTGTGACATGATGTTGATGTCCCGGCCGCAGCAGAAATGACTGCTCACATCTGTTCACTGGAATGTAGCCAAGGCTCCCTTTCGAACAAAGTTTCGGCAAATTCTCTTTGCCACAAGCGTCACAGCAGGCCTGAGTTCCGTGTCAGAACCAGAATGGGATCACAATGAACATCCATGGACCAATGCCGTGAGGCATGACACATATGACACTTCAACCAACGATGTCCCATGAGATCAACACTGCTCGCCAAGTGACCTGGTTCTTGTAGGTGCTCGGATTGTCCGAGCGGTGCCCCATGCTGTGGCCCTTCTTGCACCTCAAGCACTGGAGCCCCAATAGAACTTTGTGAGCCAAATTCTGAATCTGGATGATTGGGTTGTCGACACCCGACCTTTGCAACATATTGCCAAGTGAATTCAAATGGAAAAACTATGAACAACTCGTATAGCACCCATTAACGTATTACTGTTTCCTACAAGTCCGTTTGTTTTTTTCTTTTTTCTACATCCGCAAAGCCATTGATGCTTCAAAATGTTCCTGTCACTGGGCTCAGCCACTTTGGAGGCTGAGGCTCTGAGGCCTGGGAATCGCTAAATGTGACACTCAAGAAGTTCAACAAATATTCAATGATCAATAAATTTTGCAGCATCATTCAGCGCAATTTATGACATACTTGGTCATGAAATCAGAAATCTACACAGTCAAAGTGACCGTGTCCTCTGTCTTTACACTCCTGCAAGGTTGTGCGCACGCTGCAAATACGGACCACTTTCCAAAACTCATAACAGCTGTCAAATGGTGTTAGACCAAATTCAGAATAACTGTGAACAAACAAACTTGGCTCACAACTCGTTTCCAGAGCACATCTCTCACATAAATTCAACATACGCCAGCAGCATTTGTGTCTTGTCCTATTCCGCAAACGGACCCGCTTCTTCTTGCTGGCCTCAACGATTCAACGACGCGGTGAAGCTGCATAGCTGGAGGGTAATCTTAAAGCATGATGGGACTCACCCTGCATCGGTCTCAGCACTTGATAATCTTGGCCAAACCCTACTTCAATACGCATCTCATAATCATCTAATTTCATCAAATACATACTTTATCCATCTTTATCCATGACATGAACCCTCCGTATTGATCCGTAATTATTCATCTATTCAGAACAACCCTTGAACAAGCCCAAATACATTCAGTAGCCCATAGCTATTTTTGAAGACTTCTGGCATTTCCACAAACCAATGCCGTTGGCGACCCAAGAGAAAGCAACGCACGGTTCCACAAACAACTTTGCAGAGAAGGCAAGGTCAGGTCAGTCCACTTGAACATCCAATTCAGCTTTTGTCTACCAATACTATCAATCAAGAATGAAGATTCTGCCTTCACCATGACCGACATATTATGGCAAACATCTATCCAAACCAGAAACATAATTTTAAAATATCTTGAACGTGCAATCAGTTATAGTAGACATGACCGATTCCTGATCCTGTAACATGAATTAGGGGCAGACATGGCCAGAATCGTTTGTCTGGACTTCTCTCAAATGTTTGGTTCAATCGCATGCTCACGCAGCAGTGCCTCCTCTTCTTTGGGAGCCGGCTTTGCAGCACCACCTTCTCGCTTGCTTTGTCCAGGCCTAGATGTGAGCTTGAAAGCGAAAAATCAACAGGGTTTGAATCAAGAATCCCTAAAATTGCTTGAATCGTAATCTTCAACTAACTTTCACCTGCCGCCGTGACAAAAACTAAAATGTGCAGGTCATGTACTTCACAAACTGCCAACATCTGCCAAATCCAAAGTCGCTTTTGATTTATGGAACAGTTCTTACCTGCCACATGGAGAGCGTACATCCTACATCATTACAAACCATGTTTGTTCCTCTGAAAATTGTTTTCACGACGCATGACGGATTGTCTGTCTGCCGGCATTGACAACACTCTGCCCAAACTCGCCTCAGGCGCTTCTTTCCTTTCTTCAATTTGACCTGACGCAATCCAGCAGTATTTCAATGATCTATCAATGGACTGCACAGGCCCTTCTGCGCACCAATGTACTTGCAGTATTTTCAAGCATCAGTATGCTAAAGGGTTGACGATACTTGCCATCCTGCATCGTAGGCAGTTCTGGTTCACATTCATTTGTTCTTCGCAGATTACCTTTTCGAACATGTCATGTATCAATGTACCAAGATCAAGGGGATATGTCTGACTACAAGCTCCTCCTGCCTAACATGTTTTAGTTCCTGCCAGTTTCAATCAAAGAAGGATCTCTCAAGTCACATGCAAAGTCACCTAATGACCTTAAATGAATCCCAGTGACAAATGGAACATCACCGCAGCGTGCCATCCAGCATCCCAGACCTGCCCAAGTGGAGCCACTGCAGGCTTTTTGGGCGTCTCATCTGCAACCTTCGGTGTGAAGCCTTTGGCCCTGCAGTGTGGTGACGCACGGTGAAGACATATCACATATCTGCCATCGAAACAACCTATCAAAATTATCATTTGTTTACATATCATAGTTTGTGATAGTTTGTGGGTATCCATATAGAAATTAGTGCAGAGCTGGTCTGGAGGTTGTGAGATGTTGCGTTTAAGTCTGAACGCACTCACCAAAACAAAAGGTAAAACTTGAAAGGTGCAATACAACAAACTGTACAAACTTGTACAACCACTTCTGTGACGCTGCCGTTGTAAGCCTGTCCCACCAACAATCATAACTTGCACCACATAATTGCATGGGGTCAAATTACTGAAAATGGTAACCCCCGTCACAATAAGCATCAATGGCCTAGCAATGGAAGCCTTTTTTCGTTCCTTTCTTGTCAACTTTGGGGCACCCTCAGTGAGAAAATTATGTGGCATACCTCTGGCAAATTTGACATAGTTTTTGCGTTTGTTTGACTTGATCGACCATGTATTATCGATTCCAAATGAAAGAAAAATCTGCGAGTCTGAAAGTATGATGAGTATGATTCAACATTTCTGATGCCTGCGTCCAGAATGTGTCTGAATATGTTTTTCACGAAGCCAGGATGAGTCAACAAAATCTCACGCTGTTGCCGAAACTCTGGTGGCGCTCGCGCTTTACCCTTGCCTTTGCCTGAAAACAGCAACTTTCGCCAACAAAAAAAATCAGCTAAGGCTTTCCTTAAAGATATTGTGTAGCCACACATCTCATAGCCAATGAATCTGTTTGAATCTGTATGAACTTATGAACCTGTATTTTCACCTCTTCTGGTACATTCAGCCTGCAAGGAAAGAAAAGCATGGAAGACCTATTGCAGAGCCAATCCAACTCCAAGATATCCAAGGCGGTCCAAGCCAAAGTCCATCACTGGACAGGCCTTTGGCATCGGCAGCATCGCCTGAACAAAGGCCAAGAGGATCCAAGAGGTGTCACAAATGCTTGAGAATCACGAGACGATGCAGGGCGCAGGGCGTTTTTTTTTTCGGGTAGCCCTTCTGTTCTCTGCTGCCATTCCGCTCTTGCCAGGAATTTGCTTGTTGCACCTCGGCCGCCGAGATACGTAGGCCATTGAATTCATTCGCTAAAACAAAGACAGAATCGGAATCGTTTCATTCTGGGCTCAGTGAATAGAGCATTAGTAGCATCTCAGTATAAGTCACTCACGTTTGTTCCTTGCAGTGCCTGCAGCCTATGTAGAGAGTGTCCAGTAGATTCGCGCATCTTCCAATATTGAGCTACACATGCCACATCACCTGGAGACAGCAGTACGCCCCAAATCGAATCTCAGGATTTGGCCGTCACGAGCTGCAAAAACTGCGTTCCACCCGGTTTCATTGGCACTTCATGGCACTTCCATCTCCACATCGAATGGACCACGGGGGTCATCCGTGCTGACCGATGTGACATCCGTGTTGCTGTTGGCATCGGACATTTCCCTTGGAGGCTCAGCCGCTCAGCCCCTTTCCTTCAGGGCGGTTGCAGTTGCACCTCAGAGGAACATTTTTGTCCGAGTGTGACCGAAGTCTCCAAGGCAGGGGTGTGGAGCTTCAATTTTGAACATCAATTAACCATAGATTAACCATCATTAATGTTGATTGATTCGTTCCAAAAAGACTGGATTCAGCCAGATTAGCTAGATGCTGTGCTTTCAAAGGCTGTAGAAACAGAAACCCCAACTCTCTTTTGCTTGCATTGCGAGGAAGCCATAATACGGCCCTAAAAATGTCTCGATCAACAGGGTATGCCAATAGAAACTCTGCTGTCTCCTCAAAAAATCAACGCCATCTCAACTGAACGGAATTGCTGCAAAAAACGTTGGGAAATAGCAAGGCGATTGCACTTAATTAACCTGGCCATGATTTTGAACAAGAAATCTTGCTAAGTCACGCAGAATCTTCAACGACGTCTGACGCAGTTCCGGTGGGCAATCCACCTGGTGGCCGGCCAAATGGGGCAGGGTCAGCCAAGCTTTGACAAACATTCACAGGTTGCTTGTAAAATACCACAGTCAAACACCACTGCTTACAGCTGATATTCCTATACTGAAGGTGACAACGCCGCTAAATAAATATGTTGAGGGATAGTATTTTTTTTCCGATTTTGAAGCGTTTGCTCAAGCTGAGAAAATCAAACACACAAACATAATGCTACTGACACCACAGCAAGAATAGAAACTCATAGATCGAGATCCCCGTTGAACAATTGAACCAAAATGTTACACTAAAAGCATCGCTTTACCAACTGAGGGGATGACCCTTACTAGCATTATGTGGATTTCAACAAGGCGATCCATGGCTATCCCCAATTCCAAGTCAGATATTACAAAAACCGGCGCTAGATTCATATCGTGACATCATCACTGCGCCGAACCAGTGTTCTAGTGAAACACAAATCCAAACAACTCGGACTTAACACCAAATGTGCCTTGAACATGCCTTCTGCAACATTCAAAAGATCCTGAGACCGCGACTGACTGTTTCAGGGAAGCAAAAAGAAGAATTGCATGGAACGTAATAGAACCTGTGTATTTCGCCTAGCAAGAGATTTGAAACACATAATACCTACTTCTTGCTTGCAATACACACTTCTGAATACATCTGAATACACCGACATCTTGCAAATGGCAACGTCCAAGAACCTCAACATCCCGACAGTCCCGATACCCTCAGACTTTGCGTTCAAAGTCTCCAAACCATCCTCCACATTAAACAAGCTCGTGGCGGCTTCAGAGATGCACTCCTCACTCTTCACACCCGTGGATGGGCATTTGATCGACGTAAATCCGACCAAACGAAGGGCATAACCAGGGTCTTGCACCACAGGAATCCACAGGATAGATCATTCTATTCTCAAATATTCTTATTCCTGGAAACCACCCTGGGTTGGCATATCTGGGTACTACCCATTTTTAAAGTACCCTCGAGCAATCCCAAGCAGTGCGTTGATGTGCCCACCATTGTTGTTTAGTATCTCCACTATATGTTTGGTTGTATCCTATTCTCCACGCGTAGCAGGCGTTGTTTTCCCGATTTGCTTGGTGATACTAGATCCCCATTCTTGAATTCTTGTAGCTACTGACTTTTTTTTGCTGATCAATGCTATGCTCCCTCCCAATACTTTTAATACTTATGTTCCCTGAAAATCTCCACATAGATCTAACTGATTATAGTTATATAGTATATTATTTACTAACTAGTTATATTAATATATTGGTTAGTCATTAGTCATCCCATGTCACCCCCAAGGGGATCCCAAGGGGATCCCGCTGTCCGTGAGGATTTCCATCTGCTTCGCCGCAGCGCGCTGCCTTCGCTCCGCCTGCAGGCGCCAGAAGTCTGCAGAGGTCTCGCTGGGCACCTGGGAAAAAATCAACTGGAAGATAGATGAGGATAGAATCTGGGTAAATTGTAATAATTCACCAACCTGAATTAAGGCCATTTGGGGATGATTTCCCTTATTAACCATGATTCCAGTGAGGTCGCAGTGAGGTCGTTATAATTTACCCAGATAGAATTGAATATAGATTTATCCGCCGACCCCTGCCGTCAGCAGGGGGAGCGCGTCAGAGGAGGCCTTACTAGCAACAAGATGCCAGAAGGGGCGAAGAGTTTGCGCAGAACGAAAGCCGGCTCCAGGAGGACACGAGCAGGGTGGCAGTTGGCAGTGTAGAAACGCAGGAAAAGTCAAGGTTTGGAGCTAGTTTCTAGTCGGTTCAGAAAGTGACGTTTGGCAGTCTGGGATACGGGCCGCGGGCCCAATCCGTCCTTCACTGCCATGGTGTTTTAGCCCTGCGACACGGTCCTTGGACTCCAGCTTGGACCGAAGCGGTGCAGAACGAAAGCCGGCTCCAGGAGGACACGAGCAGGGTGGCAGTTGGCAGTGCAGAAACGCAGGAAAAGTCAAGGTTTGGAGCTAGTTTCTAGTCGGTTCAGAAAGTGACGTTTGGCAGTCTGGGATACGGGCCGCGGGCCCAATCCGTCCTTCACTGCCATGGTGTTTTAGCCCTGCGACACGGTCCTTGGACTCCAGCTTGGACCGAAGCGGTGCAGAACGAAAGCCGGCTCCAGGAGGACACGAGCAGGGTGGCAGTTGGCAGTGCAGAAACGCAGGAAAAGTCAAGGTTTGGAGCTAGTTTCTAGTCGGTTCAGAAAGTGACGTTTGGCAGTCTGGGATACGGGCCGCGGGCCCAATCCGTCCTTCACTGCCATGGTGTTTTAGCCCTGCGACACGGTCCTTGGACTCCAGCTTGGACCGAAGCGGTGCAGAACGAAAGCCGGCTCCAGGAGGACACGAGCAGGGTGGCAGTTGGCAGTGCAGAAACGCAGGAAAAGTCAAGGTTTGGAGCTAGTTTCTAGTCGGTTCAGAAAGTGACGTTTGGCAGTCTGGGATACGGGCCGCGGGCCCAATCCGTCCTTCACTGCCATGGTGTTTTAGCCCTGCGACACGGTCCTTGGACTCCAGCTTGGACCGAAGCGGTGCAGAACGAAAGCCGGCGCCAGGAGGACACGAGCAGGGTGGCAGTTGGCAGTGCAGAAACGCAGGAAAAGTCAAGGTTTGGAGCTAGTTTCTAGTCGGTTCAGAAAGTAACGTTTGGCACTCTGGGCTACGGGCCGCAGAACGAAAGCCGGCTCCAGGAGGACACGAGCAGGGTGGCAGTTGGCAGTGCAGAAACGCAGGAAAAGTCAAGGTTTGGAGCTGGTTTCTAGTCGGTTCAGAAAGTGACGTTTGGCAGTCTGGGATACGGGCCGCGGGCCCAATCCGTCCTTCACTGCCATGGTGTTTTAGCCCTGCGACACGGTCCTTGGACTCCAGCTTGGACCGAAGCGGTGCAGAACGAAAGCCGGCTCCAGGAGGACACGAGCAGGGTGGCAGTTGGCAGTGCAGAAACGCAGGAAAAGTCAAGGTTTGGAGCTTATTTCTAGTTGGTTCAGAAAGTGACGTTTGGCAGTCTGGGATACGGGCCGCAGGCCCAATCCGTCCTTCACTGCCATGGTGTTTTAGCCCTGCGACACGGTCCTTGGACTCCAGCTTAGACCGAAGCGGTGCAGAACGAAAGCCGGCTCCAGGAGGACACGAGCAGGGTGGCAGTTGGCAGTGCAGAAACGCAGGTAAAGTCAAGGTTTGGAGCCGCAGAACGAAAGCCGGCTCCAGGAGGACACGAGCAGGGTGGCAGTTGGCAGTGCAGAAACGCAGGAAAAGTCAAGGTTTGGAGCTAGTTTCTAGTCGGTTCAGAAAGTGACGTTTGGCAGTCTAGGATACGGGCCGCGGGCCCAATCCGTCCTTCACTGCCATGGTGTTTTAGCCCTGCGACACGGTCCTTGGACTCCAGCTTGGACCGAAGCGGTGCAGAACGAAAGCCGGCTCCAGGAGGACACGAGCAGGGTGGCAGTTGGCA